TCGGAACGCCCTGGTGGACGTTCGCAAGGAGCGTGACGATACCCGTGCCCGTGTCAAGGAGCTTGAAGAGATCTTGTCTAAGTTCAAGGTGGAATACAACCCCAACTTCAACGACGAGGGCGTTAAGCGCGCTGTGCGCAGCTGGGAAGACTACGCCGCCAAGGGCACTCTTGAAGGCGCTGTGAACAACGCTCAGGACCGTGATTTGGATGAAATCGCCAAGCCTGATGATGAGAAGGCGGGCATCAACTGGGAACAGTGGGAGAATGAAGAGGATGGGTGTGAGGCTGGTCTTGGTATGTGATCTATTCTAATGAGGGTCATCGAGTTCCCGCGCTAACATCAGATTTAGTCTACCAGATGGCAGCCTACCTTCCGCCTTCCCTGGTTGAGTTCATTGAAGGCAAGGTGCTCTTCGTCAGAGGCCTCTTGGAAGATAACGGAATCCTACCCAAGGCGGCCGAGACGTCTACGTCCGAGTCCAAGGTTGTGTCGGAAGCACGCGAAGCCGTGAAGTCAGCGGAGAAGGAGCTTGAGAACAAGCAGAAACAGCTGAAGGATCACAGGTCCGATCTTGAGACGGACTATGGTGTCGGGTCCATCTTCCGTGCTCTCAAGGGCGTCTGCATCTCCAAGGACTCGGGTGAGTACACGTATGAGCACTGCTTCCTGGACCAGACCAAACAGATCCCGAAGAAGGGCGGTGGATCCACACGTATGGGCAAGTACACCGGCATTGGATCCGTGAGTGTTGATGTGCTCAACGAGGCGGGCGAGATTGTCCCTGAAGACAGGGTTACTCTTCAGTACGCCAACGGTCAAGGCTGCTGGAATGGACCAGCCCGCTCGACGACGGTCATCTTGACATGCGGCGAAGAGGACGCGATCCTGAAGGTGGCGGAAGATGAGAAGTGCGTGTACTCGATGCATGTCACGTCGCCGGCTGTGTGTCCCGGAGGCGATGAGGGCGCAGCCGCCCCGAACCGCAAGGATGAGCTGTGAGCGGCGATGGAACCATGTTCAGGGTTATATTAGAGCGCTACAATTTCATAGGTTTTGCTTATTCGAATTGCATACACAGCATCTGTTGTACTGACAGTATACATGAAGCTACTGACTTAATAGCCCTAGCGTTGGTTAGGCAGCTGCTACTTAGCAGAACCGCTGATTAGCGGATGGCATCGGAGTATCTTCTGGGGAGGTTATCAGTATCCCGGGCTCCCCTTCCCTGGTGTAGCCGACCAGTGAAGTAGTAGTAGTAGTGTCCTTTTGACGCAGCAGACAGGATCAGATAGGTCCGTCTGACCTGATGGGATTTTCCCATCCTGCAATCCCAACAATACAGTAGACGCAGTAAAAACTTGGTGTAGCAACCCCACAACCCTCAACACCGATCAGGCGATGCTGCAAGCAACTCACTGTTGGCTCGCCTCGTCTATCAACAAGCCCCATACCAACCAGGCAATGATTAGCAGATGGAAATAATCGTAATGACGCTGCTTGGTTGTTTGGGTGTTGCTTCTTTGGTATTTCTCTCGACCCATAGTACCCAAGTATACATACCCCGCCCGTGGGGCTGCTGATTAGTTGGTGGTGACTGCGAACGAACCTTCTTTTTCTTTTCTCTTATTTTATTCTACCTTTTCTCTGATTAGCGCGCCTTTCGCGGCTGGAGATACTACGTACCTACATACTAAGTTTTGCTTCTCATAAGCAGTGCTGGGAATTCAGGGTTCCACTCTTCTCCGGGGCCTGCCACGATCGAGAGTTTTGAAACACCTGGTGGGGGAGAGAAAAAAAGACTCATTCTCCATAGCTGAAAGAGGTAAATGGAGCAAGACATTGCTTTGGATGAAGTTAGTAGGGAAGTTTAGATACGAGGTATAATCAGTATCATCATACCTTGATCGTCCTGGAAGCAGCAGGGCATGTACAGTGGTGGAGTCTGTGGATGGAGGGGTTGCCATTAGCCATTATCACCACTAGCAATAGATACTAGTTGTACATAAGACTCTTCTCAGTTCTGGCTACATCCCCTACATGCAGTGATAGTTATCACAAACCACTAGAATAGATATGTAGAAAATGTGTCAGAGAGGAAGTGGAATATGATCTCACCGATACGGGTCCCCCACCCAGCAAAGCAAAGTAAAGCAAAGCAGAGCAAAGCAAACCCCTCCTACATCTCCGACTTGCTGCCTCACTTTGCTTTGTCTTTTTGACTCCACCTCCACCACACCCTCCTCCTCCTTCTCCTGATTCAACGTGGCATGATAGCTTCCCAGCATCTTAGTTGCAGGACCACTCCCTATTATTGACCGATTGGTCGTTGATCTGCTTCCCTTCCCAAACTTCCCCCCACCTTGGCCATGGTAGACCAAACATCATCCGTCTACATACCCAGGACTAAGTTTCCAGCCAGGGCACTTTCGGGATCAAGACAGAAGAAAATAAACCGGCGAGCAAGCGGGGATAGTTCTGACCAGGGTGTTCCATGCTTGTTACTGGTAAATTAACGCAGTGGCCTGTTTCATCTACTCACCTTTCTTTATAGGGCATCTTTCTAATCTTGGAGGAATGGGTGGTAACGATATCATCCATGCACGCAACACACTACTAGTAGTAGTAGTAGTAACGAGTACAAGTACACACAAGTAAATAGAGACAAGAAAATACAAACCAAACTCCCTAGTACCGGTGACTACTACCGAACCATACTCTCCCACGCCTCGCTGCAGCAAGCAAAAGTAAACTTGGACCCAGTCATCTATAGCACAAATCCACCTCCACCTGCAGTTGCAATCTATGAAGTACACTACTACTACTACTAGTAGTAGTACTACTGTGGGACACAGCAAGTAGTAGTACCCATCGTGTATCCACTACAACTCAAAACCGATTATCCCCATCCGTCACCTGGCAGATTCTTATTCCAGGGATGGATGGATAGGATGGGTTGAGGAGGGGCAAAAAGTAAAGCAAAGTAAAGCAAACAGTCGTACAGCATAGCGTTTTCTTTCCTGAAGAAAAGCATATAAAGACCCTCTTCTATCCCACATCCTCGCTCTTTTTTTATTCTCGCTCATCCACTGCTGTCTGTTCATTACGGAATATACTTCACTTCTTCTCAAATACTTTCATAGTATATATATACTACCCACCTACCCTATCTACCACCATGGCCCCCTGCGAGTGCAAGTGCTGCTCTGGCAGCTGCAACTCCTGCACTTGCGCTGACTGCAAGGTGTGTACACATCCTCGAAATACTATATTCCATCTTAGCTATGAGAGGATAGTAGTAGTATGGATGTGGAATGATACTGACAGGCTACTATGATAGCACTAAACAAACCAACCCCAATACATTCCTACTATGACAACAACAACAACAACGCCTCGTCCCTTTTTATCTTCGCTTCGCTTCGCCTCGCCCCGCCTCGCATAGTTTGCCATCGTTGAAATAATACAGAAAAAAAAACCAGATGTCGAGTGCAAATGTCTTGCTCGCTACTATCATTATTATTATGCCTTCTTTGACTTCGATGCGACTGTTGAATCTTTAGGGGAGTGGGGGGGATTAGGGCCATTGGTGTAGGGGAGATTGGTGCTGGTTGCATAATGGTATGGGTGATGAGGTTATGAATTTCAATTGTATTGTGATGTTTTGAGTGTTCAGACGTATATGTTTTTTTGATTATTCAATTTCAATGATTTACTTGACTTATTGATTGAGAGTTGCCTTCTTGGGGATTGTTGGTAGTGGTGTAGATTTTATAAGTATTCGGGGATTGGGGTACAAACTAAATACTAATTATGATGTTAACTGATTTTGTAATTTGATTTTCTACCAGGTCTGGGTATATCGTTTGTTGCTATTATATTTGTTTCTTGATTGTGTATGTATAGCTACCAAGTGATCATTTATTCTTCTATTGGTAACTGTTTTAAACTAGCTTGAAGACTATAACATGTCTAATATACCATATACGATAGAGTTCAAGAAACCGAGCCATGAAGGGGGGGGGAAAGGGGGTCAGCAGGACATACTACATGCATTATGCTATGACCACTAGCATTTTCGTATTATATCACATGTCTCTTACTGTGTAGTATCTACGTTTTTTTGTTGTCTACTAGGCTTGTCATAGTAAGATGATAGAACAAGACATAGGACAATCAGCATAGCATCTTCTGTTACTACTCCATGAGATCTAGACTCAGATAGGTACAAGCAGGTTGTCCACCGATTCTATTCGTCTATCCCTTAGAGCGAGATGTTTATTTCTGTAGGATGAGAAATACAACTATCAGTATGGTCGTCAACAAGTAGGAGTAAGTTAGGAAGTGGAAACGTACGGGGCACTGGCACTGGCCGGCGGGGCACTGGCAAGAGGCGCCGCAGCTGCAACCGTGGTCGTTACCTGTCGGTCATCGAGGTTAGCAACCCTGTATACCATACTCAGGTGATGATAACGTAGCAAAATAATTATTTCAAGCCCGAGTATTCGCCAGGACAAGGATGGTGATGCGTTAAAGCAAACATCAAACAGATTCGAGTCCCATCCATGCGTACCCCGCACTAATAAACAAACAAAACAAGGGTACTTGATGAGGGCTAAGCAAACCACCTACCCATGATGACTGGTTTTAAAGACGAGGAAATAGTCTTTTAGATTTGGAGTCAAAGGACAAAAGTCTTCTTTTCCGTGGAGATTGGAAAGAAAAGTGGTCAGAGTGGCAGTGATTTGGGAAGACGGGAAGAAAAGAGAGAGCGGGGTATTTATAGTTAAGTTGCGAGGGTCTTAGCGGGTCTGAACTTGAGCACATTTCTGCACCTCGTCTCCAGTCACCCTCCGCCATTCATCTCCCTGACTGGATACTACTAGTATTCAATCTTCCTGTTGCTGCAGGTTGGTCGTAAGCTCTTTTCTATGCTTACCCAAGAGGATGCAGCAGGGCAGATGCATGCATGCATGCATTACTAACTACATCATTGTCTTTTACTCTTGTTTTCTCTCCCAGCTAACATGATCCTGACCCAAATAGTAAATGACCCTGCAGCTGAGCTGGATTAACAGTATTACTACTCTACTGTTAAATAAACCCATTTACTTCCATCGCTATTGGCCAGCCCTCAAACATGCAGGAAGACAAAGTGACACCCATTTCTTGCCTGTGCGGAGGTGTGGCACAGGAGATCGAGCTGAAGCAATCCACCGACCATTCGGCACTCAATTTCTGTCATTGCACGGCCTGTCGCACGGTCACCGGAATGCTGTGCTCGACCTACTACCTCCTGCAGGCTAAGCCAGAGAGCCTTGACAGCCTCCAGGAGTACCAGGAAGCTGATTGCATAAGCCGCTATTTCTGTAAAACCTGTGGCGCTCATGCCTTTGCCCATTCGAAACACACAGGGCAATTCTTTGTTGCAGCCGGACCGCTGGCGGGGAGACTACCCCCAACCACATCTATACGGCATTGGCGGGCTGCCGAGACGCGTGATGGTGGCCTGACACCCTTTCTCTCTGGACAGCCAGAAGAACCGGCTCCAGCATGTTGGCTACGCACGGTTTCCAGCAACCAACCAAGCCAGCCCGAGGCCGGACTCGAGCTGTCGTCCCGGAATCCGGACGAGCTACTTGCCCGTTGTCATTGTGGGGGTGTTGAATTTTATATCACGCGGCCCGATTCTTCATCCACCAAGCCGACTTCCCCGTGGTCCGATCTGCTTGCACCGTATCATTCACAGTCCTCAAGCAATCCCCAAGACGTGAAGTGGTGGCTGCAGGATGAGAATACTAAGTATCTGGCGGGTACCTGCGCCTGTCCTTCGTGTCGCCTAGCCAGTGGTTTCCCTATTCAGCCGTGGGCGTTTATTCCTCTATCGAATATTTACAATAAGGACAAGGTGCCGCTGGCATTTGGCGCCGGCACGATGCGACAGTACAAGAGTTCCCCAGGTGTCTACCGCGAGTTCTGCAGCCGCTGCGGCGCATCCCTCTTCTGGCATGACGACGAAAGACCACTGCTGATAGATGTGAGTGTTGGCCTACTTCGAGCAGAAGAGGGTGCTAGGGCCAGTGGGTGGTTGAAATGGGCCACACAGAGAGTAAGTTTTGCGGAGATGGCAGCAGATAAGGCGTTGATCAAACACCTGCAAAATGGACTGAAGGAATTTGGGGACAGAGCTTGAATGCAGAGCCGTTTGATTTATGCTTGCCATTCCATATGTAAACTGCATGTTTATCTAGATAAGTCGCTTGTAGTAACTATAGTTAATGGGCCGGCGGAGATAAGCAAAAAGTGGGATGGAGGGCCATCCTCACCGCCTTCCCAACGCAGCCCCAGACTTTCATTCCGCCGCCGCCGTTGAAAAAAAGATCCGCCAGGCGCGTCGTTGTGGGTTGATTGCATCTCAGCCTGTGTTGTCGCTGCACGTCATTCTCCCATTTTTTGACATTATTTTTTTTGATTCTCGTTCCTTCCCTTCTCCCGTCATGCCGCCGGCTTTCGAGTTCCGGGGAAATGACCGACGGTCAGGACACCAACCCCGACATGAGTTCACTTTCCGTTATGCGCGCCCTGGAACCTCCGAACGGCCGCTTTTGAGATCTAAGCGAGAGACAACCCCAGAACAGCTACTTCCCTCCGGCGCTGCGGACTCGAAACCGGCTCTGAAGTTCGCGCCTGTGGCGAACCTTAGCGATAGCGAGGAAGCCGATATGGACGTCTCTTCGGAGGATGAGGATGAAGCAGCCCACCCGCGCAAAAAGCGTGCGGTCGATCCCAACAATACCGGCACCGCGACGGCTGCTCCAGCACCACCACCGGCCCCCAAATGGTCCAACCCCGATCCCTATACGGTCTTGCCTCCTCCGGATGAGACCCAGGGTAAGCGAGTGGACGTCGTCAAGTTGATTCGCAAGGCCCGGATTGCTGCAACCGCGGCGGCACAACCCACACAGGAAGATGCGGTGAAGACCAACGAAGATTTTATCTCGCTGAGTGGATTGGTTGATGAAGATGAAGGCGGCGGAAACGCGCCCGAAGGTGCACCAACCGGACCAAGGCGCCAGCTGGAAGGCAAGGACTCGGCGTTTGGAAACAGAAAGAGGACATACGATGATGAGATCAAGGGTGTCTCTAAGAAGACTGGGAAGCCGTTGAGCAAATACTATGATGATGGCTCGATCATTGACGAGTGGAGAGCCCGCTCGTCGGAAAATGCAACACCGTGGGCAAGTAGCATGGCTCCCAGTCTACATGTGGGCGCAAGGTGCGTGTCAATCTATGGTGAAGGAAAGAAGCAATTATTCTGACTCAAAGCAGGCTGCACAACGAGATCCTCAGCTTTTATCACTGGGTCAAACCCGTGCGCTATGAACAGATCGTGCGAGAGGACTTGGTGGCGAGGCTACAGGCTGCATTCCAGAGCAGGTACTATGGGGTGCAGCTTCGGCCTTTTGGCTCTTTTGCGTCGGGTCTATATTTGCCCACTGCCGATATTGACCTTGTACTACTCTCCACAAACTTCATGCGCAACGGTATCAAGACATTTGGTGAACGGAAAGGCCAGATCTATGCATTCTCTGCATTCTTGAAGAACCTGAACATTGCGGTGCCCAACTCGATCGAGACGATCGCTCATGCCCGAGTACCCATTCTGAAGTTCGTGGACAAGTTGACTGGCTTGAGGGTGGACTTGTCGTTCGACAATGACAGCGGCTTAGTGGCAAACGAAACCTTCCAGCAGTGGAAGGCTGAGTATCCCGCAATGCCTGTTATCGTGTCCGTCATTAAGCAATTCTTGCTCCTTCGCGGCCTCAATGAAGTCCCCACTGGCGGCCTGGGAGGGTTTTCCATCACTTGTCTCGTCACGAGTCTTCTGCAGCACCTGCCGCATGGCCATGGGACACCGAACCTGGGCAGCGTTCTCATGGACTTTTTCGAGTTCTACGGTAACGGGTTTGACTATGATTCCGTTGGAATTCGCTTTAACCCACCGGGCTACTTCAATAAGGTAAGCTCTGCCAATGATGGTTTGTGTGCACACCGACTAATGAGTTCCTGTGTAGAGGGTATATAAGCTTTCCTTCAATAACAGTCCCCGTCTGTCAATCGAGGATCCCAACAATGCCGACAACGATGTCTCAGGTGGAACACGGGAGATTGCATTGATTTTCAGAGCGTTTTCAGAGGCCTATCAACGTCTCAAGGAGCGCATGATCTCCACAGCCACAGCGGGCCAGACGCAGGCCAGCATCCTTGAAGCCATTATTGCCGCAAACTATGAGGAGTACACTGAGCAGCGGTGGCAGCTCCGGCAGGTCTTTGACACCGATGAAAGATTTGCCCGGTACCGTCGGGATTCCACTCCTCCCCCCCCTCCTCCTGAGTCTCCTCCGGCTGATGCTGCTCCACCTCTCCCTCCAAACCCCCCTCCTGCTGCACCCAAATCGCAGAAGGATAAAATGACTAAGCTGCAAAAGAAGCAACAAGCTGCGCGGGAACGTTCTGCTCGGCTCAAGCGCTTGCGTCCCGACATACCGTCCATTCCCTACTCGATCAGCAATGAGCAGGCCATCAGTCTGGGCGGCTACAAGTCGCAATCAGATATGGACAGAGACCTTTTGATGCGAGAGAAGGGGATGTAATATCTCCCAGCCAGAACTAGGGGGCTTCTTTCAAAAGAAGTCGACTTAAGACTTGTACAGTTTTCTTTCGTCTTGGGTTACCAGTGGGCACACATTTTCTGTATTATACCCTGGGATAGTTTCCTCTTTCTCTCACTTTCTGATTTCTTGTCCGCCTTTGAGCGTCTGATACCCTTCTTTTTTTTCCCTTGGCTACAAAAAAAGATATCTGGGAGCATGGTTTTACACTGGGGTGGTTTTCTTTTGCTGTTCATTCGGGGATATCGGAGCAATGCTAAATGTGGATGACACTATGCTATGGGCTATTGAGCGCGAAATGGACTATTCTGAAGATATCGCACTAACAAGCTCAATAGAAGCTGTTGCTTGGATACTCAATTTCACTTGTCAAATCTGGTTGGTATTCACATTACCTATCATATCATAACATAACCTACTGGCCAACAGCCACGCCACACGTCCTTCGCTAACACACACCTCTCTCTCTATAGGTTTAATAGATCTGTGTGATATGATCTCAGGCCAGATGTGGGTCCACAAACAACCGGCCTGCTATCGATCAGTCAAACAGAGACAGATTTCCCTTCCATGACCTACCTACCTGGCTACGCCAGCAGCAGCAGCAGCAAATTGCAAAATATTGATTGAAATTTAGAAGCATGAAAAAATCGAATTGGTACCGTACGTTCACACGGAGACCCTCGCGGGTTCTCTTGTGGATTTGCAAAACCTTACTTCCCTCCCTTTTTTCCCGTATCCTTCTCATCAAGGGGGCGCTATATGCGGTCGCTTGGAGAGGAAGAGCGAGCGAGGTTTGGGAGTTGGTGGCGATTTGGACTTTAGATTGCGGGAATAGGTAGGTAGATAGGTAGTCTATTCTATGCATGTGTGCTGGAGGCGTGTCAGGATCGTGAATGATATGTCATGTACAGATAACACTGCAAGAATCATATGCGGTCTATGTAATTCAATGAAGGGCATAGTTATGCAGTGAGCAAAGAGATGGAAGAAGCATCAAAGCAAACAGTCGCGTCTTAACAATGCATATGCATAAGTCATCATCAATCAGGCCTGGAATGTATAAGGTATGAGGGGATCAACTATCTTCATCACAGCGCAACATCAGGCGCTGCAGCAGTGGGTATCTTCTCAGCCGCATCAACTGCCTCCAGAGGCGGCGTCACCATGGTCTCATCATTAGCGCCAGCAGCAGCAGCAGCAGCAGCAGCATCCTTGTCTCTCGCAGCTAGATGCTCAGCAGACAACGAATTGACGAAATCCGGAGACGGGCTGTCCCAGGCATAATCAGCCCACTCTGGGCCCAGGATCGTCCGGATATGCTGAGCCAGAGACGAGATGCGACCACGTCTGTCTTTCGACCAAGCACGGTCGGTAATGATCCCCTCCGAGGGGGTCAGGATAGCAGGCGCCTGTGCGGCAGAAGGCACAGCGGACGGGGGCTGCAGTTCTGAGGACTTCGGTTCAACGTCCTCGTCATCGTCCTTGTTCTCCAATCCATCCACGATGCTATGCCAAACACGGAGGGTCTCATCCAACTCTTCGAAGTTGCTCACTCCCATCACACTAACTCCCAGTCTCTCCCCAGTGCCCATACTAGCCACGGAAATAAATCCCGGATCAGCATCTCCGGCCTTCGCCAGCGGGGCACCCAGCGCTCCAACCTGCTTTCCTTCGCGCAACCAGCTCTCCAACGAAAACCGGATAGCCACAACCTCCAACTTCTCACCCTGGCCATCGACCCAATCCGAAACCTCCCGGATCTTGTTGCGCAATCCATCTGGCGCGGGGTGGAAATCACCCATACTCCCAATCGGCACGCCCTGTCTCCGCAACAGACCCATGCCCAACGGGGACGCATTCGTTACAACGTCCACGCCTGCACCCACAAACCTCGGCAACCCGCGCGACAAGAGTCTCGTATTCTGCAGCGTGTAATTCGCATACGACTGCACGATATCCAACGGCTCGCCGGTCTCGCGGAGAACCAGCTCCGCTATTTCCGCCAACACGTCAATGGGGAACCCCGAGATGCCGACATACTTGATGGTGCCCTCGGTATCGCGAATGCGACGCAGTTCCCGGATAGCGGCTAGGGCTTCCTGGCGGGAGACGAACTCGACGTCGTGGCAGTAGACAACGTCTAGGTAGTCGGTGTGTAGGCGCTGGAGACTGCGACGAACGCTCTGGCGCACCCAGGCAGGGGAGTAGTCGAAGGAGGAGGAGGCGATGCGGCCGACTTTGGTGAGGATGTAGTAGGATGAGCGGGGGTGATGGGTGCGGACGTAGTCGGTGGCGAGGGCGCGGCCGAGGAGTTCTTCGGCGGGCCCGTAGTAGGGGGATGTGTCGAAGGCGCGGATGCCGGAGGTGAAGGCGCGCTGGACCAGTTCAGTGGTGGGGAGGGCGAAGGGGTCGTGGTTGTATTGGTTGTTGAAGGTTGCGGTGCCCATTATCAGTGGCGGGAGGGCCGCTGAGAGGGGGGTGGAGGGACGGGGCATTGTTGGTCTTTCTTTATGTTTTTGCTGTGTAGATGGAGTCGAAAGTAGGAGAGAAAGTATTTACAAGAAGAGAATGAGAGAAAGAGGGTGAGGAAAGGAAGAGGGAGAGAGGGAAAGAGAGGATGGCGAGGGGAAATAATAAAAGAGCAAAAGGAGGGGAAAGAAAATCTGCGGCGGAGATAAGGGAATCTCACCCGGGCAATATTCCCCGCTGGGGCGTTTCCGCTCCGCGATGGCGCCATGATGGCCACCAATGAGCATTGCTTGATGTTTTTGAGATGATGGAAGATTATTTCTCATGATTGATTGTGAACGATGCTAGCATTTGTACACAACTCTCAGTGGAATCATGACCTTCCACGCAACCGTGGAGGGTACTAAAGTACAGGTATCAATCCTCTGAACAGGACAAAAGAGGGGAGAAGGGATCATTAAGAACAGAAGAAAAAAAGAAAAGAACACAAAGATAGGATCATCCTTGTGCCCTGCTAGGCTCGTAGGCCCTTCGTCTTTCGAATAATATACACATATACTCTCAGTCAGGACGTAAAATGGCCCGGCGAACAAGGCGCAACCAACCCAGACCGTCGACTCAGCCTGGAATCTGATATGCCATATGCCCTTCATTCAAGTCCGAGTCCATCTGTCTCGACGAGATGCAAGCCACCATATAAATATAGGAATCTAAACTCTTTCCAAGCTGCAAGTTGGAATCACCAAAACGCCATGCTATGCCGCGAAAACCGAGAGGGAGAAAAACAGGAGGTCGAGGAGATCGTTAAGAGGGGCTTCCGATGGTCGGTGCAAATGCTTCGACCCTGTTGATGAGAGCCAAGCTTAAATCGATCGAAACGCAAGAACTCCCAGATGGCAGCCCGAGAGCAAACAATCATTCCTGAAGAAGTTGAGCCGGGTGCTATAGGTAAAAAGAAACGCATTCACCGGTCCTTATATACCTTGGGCTTCCAGCCGTCGCGCAGCTCCTTCTCCTCGGCCATCTTGCGCTCGGCCTGTCGGACTTCCATCTCTAACCTCTCCCGGGCCCGAAGAATCTTGCTTTGCAGGTAGAAACTACCACCCTTCTGGGGATCGTTGAGGTCGAACAGCTTCTTGAATCGTTCCATCACTTGCTCCAGGTTGGCCTCGCCGTTTTGCGGGGGCTTGACGTTGAGAATCTTGCAGGCCTCGTCGAGAGTCAATCCGGAAGACATGCTGGCGCCGACCTTCTTGCCCGTCTGCGCGGCGTACTTGGAGGAGGCTTGGGCTTGCTTGTAGGCCTCGGCGAAGGCCTTGCCGAAGACACGGGCGCCCGTGACGACGACTTGAGTGACGATACGATGAGCCTGTTGGGTGAGAAGAGAGCAAGGTTAGTATACCTGAGCATGGCGGCCGATCGGGATAGAGAAAGCATCAAATTGGCTTCAGAGGAGTGAGGGTGTCTCCACATACCATGATGACTGGATATTATAGCCGATAAACGGACTTCAAGGATTAAATCAAAGCTCCAGGAGCGACGGCGAACAAAAGAAATGATGCGACCGGGGAGTAGTGGAGGGAGTCCCTGGCTGGATCAAGAAGGGGAGCGGAAAGCGGATTCGATGGCGATGGAAACAGACGGAGAGGGAAAAATTCGGCAGCGCTTTTAGTCCGTTTTGCCGTACCGCCGCGGCCTGAGGCGTCCCCGGATTGGTTCCTGGATTGGATGTAAAGTAGACCAACCAACTATTGGACTCGATACTATTTGACCGTCAAAAAGAAAGCACTCACCCCCTACCTGATACAGTACTTCAGCTGCTGTGTATCTGCTGATTTGTCAAATACAATAGAACAATGATTTGTTATTGCAGGGTCTTACTGTGTGTCTCTCACCTCATCTTCCTTGACTGATGCATCGCATCTATACGTATGTAACGGTCACTGACGGTATCCATACCGGCCTGTCACTTGATATCCACATTGTGTAAATTGTGCAAATTGTGTATGGTATGGTAATATCCGGGCGAGGCAGGCTGTCACATGTTCCGAGCAGCAGACGAAAAGCTTCAATTCTCAGCTGCACCCGCGGATCTCAGGCTATTACCCCCTTCCATCCCCGCAGATGATCGGCCTCCAGGGACCTTGTCTCTAACTTTTGGTCCCCCATCTTTCGTTGGGTCTGACCAGCATTTATTGTGTGTCTCTCGCCCTTTTCCTTCTCCCTCTCTCTTCTCCGCGTCTCACCGCCCGCAATGACCTTGGATGCATATGACGTCTCTGTTGTTGGATGGCAGCTCTCGGTAGGTGATACAAACAAATGCACTTTCTGACTCTGACGACTACTTTCCACCTCCTATTCTCTTCGAGTATCTGGTCCACGTGGACGAGCCGCTCTCATCCACTACCGCCCTGAATACTAATGTCGCGACAGAAGATATTCCGTGGATAGATTCCATGGCCCCATCATCATCCACGCAGGACCATGCTGACTCTCAGCCTCCGACGGTCGCTGCTTTCTCCCCCACCACCATCTCAGGCTCGTCCGTCACATCGAGGCAGCGTTCCAGCATCATCGTGCATCGAAAATCGCCGCTACTGGTGGCCACGCCCCCTCAGATCACCCGGGCATTGGCCTATTCGCATCCGTTTATTCTCCCGTTGAACAAGCTCGTTGGATTGCTCACATGGACCACTGGAGACGGCTGGCAGAGCTTCCTGCTGGTAGCAGTATTCTGGACGCTTGTTCTCTATGGCGATGTGATTATTACCTGGACCGGGCCACTCCTCGTGGTCATCGGCCTCATTTTGGGCATGTACTGGCGACGCTACTCCCCGTTGTCGTCCAGGGCTCACCTGAGTGAGAAGCAAGGCCATCAAAGGGCTGCTTCGGAGACATTCCCCCATCGGCATGAAACGTTGGACGAAATCGTGGAGACGCTAAGGACATTTACCACACGCTGCAATATTCTCCTAGAGCCACTCGTGGAATTTACCGACTTCCTGTCCACGCAGAGGACAGCGACTTCTGCCACCACCCGACCGGCTCTTACAACCTTGTTCATTCGAATCCTCTTCGTTACACCAATATGGATCGCCTTGACTCTTCCACCGTTGTATCTTATTACCACTCGCCGGGTTATCATGACCCTCGGCACTATCATTCTCACCTATCACTCTCGCCCGGCAAGAGTGTCCCGTGTCATTCTTTGGCGATCGTTAACGATCCGCCGGATATGCTCCATAATCACCGGCCTATCCTTTTCTTCTACAGTTGATAAGGCGCACTCGCTGTTAATGCAGAGCCAGGGCCATGCGATGAGCATTGCGACAAGACGTCGAGGAGACTCCTCCGGTGTGAGATTCACCTTTGTCATCTATGAGAACCAACGTCGTTGGCTTGGAATCGGCTGGACGTACTCTCTGTTCCCTTCCGAGCGAGCTGCTTGGACAGACGAGCATTTGAATCACGTCCCATCTAAGGAGGACTTTGAGCTGCCCGGTGTCGCAAACGGAAATGCTCAGTGGCGCTGGGTCGAAGGGAGTGACTGGCGTATTGAAGGCGCCGACGAGTCAGGAAAGTCGGACGCCAAAGCTGATGGCGGGGGCTGGGTCTACTATGACAACAAGGTGGGACACATTGTTTCCCATGTTCTGACAAATGTCCAGGTTCCAGGATTACTAACAGCATGGGAACAGTGGAACGACGGTCGCCGTGGTCAAGATGGTTGGGATCGATACACCCGTCGTCGGAAGTGGTGTCGTGACGCCGAACTGGTTGAGATTCCCTCAGCGGGCGAGAGCACCTCAGTGGAGACCAAATCCGGCATCGCCCAGTCACTGGAGCAGGAAAAGGCCGCCAACGCCCATGAGAAGGAGATCTCATCTACGGTCGACGCCGACGCAGAAAGTCTCGCCCCGTCAACCTCATCCAAGTCCCGCAAACGACGTTGGTTTGGGAGTACGAAGAGTGTAAGCGACAAAGCCAGCAGCATCTCCTCTGCTCCACCAACGTCCACCAATAACTCCTCCGTAGATCTCGGAAAATTGAAGTCCGCCACCCCTACCGGCAGCTACACGCCAACCGGGAAGTCCACCGCAACTGCAACCCGACCCATCAGTATTCCGCACGCCCGGAAATCGTCCAATTACTCGGGAGGCAGCGCCAGTCACAGCAGCAGCTTCGGCCGCGACGGGAGTATCAGGGAGAAAGAGATGTCTCTCGCTCAGGACCGTCTAGACCGCTGGGGCACTCGCGCCACAGGGGGTACTGAACGAGCCGAGCGAGAGATGGGATTAGGTGATGAGGTCAATATGGGGTTGAGCTGATCTTATTCAGTCATGGAGGAGAGGTGAAGCTACACTGCAACTGGCGGCGTCTCAAGAGAATGGCATTTTCTTTTTCTTGCAAAGCGGACTTCTTATTCATTGTTTTATTTCGGGCTTTTGTTGCGTCTGGTGGACGGGGTGTTTTGGGTACTTCTCTTCTTAGCCCTTTATTATTACTCTGTGCGGTTTAACGCCTTGATGAAATGGAGATACCCTTGTTTACCCAAGAAAAGATCTGCTCGGAGCAGTGCCGTAAGTCGAAGACTTGTCAAGCTGTGGTATCAGAAGTATTTTTAGTGGTTATCGTACGGAATCTAGTATTCACTTATTGTTCATATATACAGTATGTAGTATAGTGGTACGTGGTATCTAAGCAAGAATCAAATCCCACTGTAAGCGCTCCAACATATCAAGCCAATGCACATTCCCTTCTCCCGCCCAGAGGATACTTAACATCTCTTTTGCTCTTCTCACATTGCCGATCCCAAAGTTCGCCTCTAATTTATCCAATGAATGTATAATGAGCTCCTGGTCTGAGGGATGTTTGCTCTCGCAGCCAGCAATGAAGAGTGGGAATGTAAGGGCAGAGAATTCGCAGTGTTCGTCGAGTGGGAATTCCCTAATTCTGGACAAGAGCTGATGTAATGCGGTTGATCGGGGGAGGGAGATTGATGGTGATGGTACCGCCTTGAATGGCGTATGTAGTGTTAATTGTAATGGGGCAGCAAATTGTGGTGATAATGGTGCTGCCGTTCTCTGGTTCAGTCTTTCCAGAGTTGAATGGAGATAGATGTACGCAGCATCGCGGAAGCAGTTGGCGACCATGCGCAGACGGATAAGGTTCGATTCGGTTATGCCCCGTGGGAGGATATATTCGGTGTTGGTGGGTGCCCAGTCTCGGAGGGATGTGTCGCTGTGTGGTTGATGGTTAGCGGGAACTGTGGATGTTGTTGAGGGGGTACTTACATTAAGTGGACCTCTAGGTCCAAGGCTACGGGGTCTTGAGATAGGGTGGGGAGGTCGGCTATTCGGGCGCATATCTTGATGAGGTCTTCTGCGTAGCCGATGTAGATGTCGAGCTTGGATATTTTGACGTTGCCAATATCAAGGTCGTAGTTGATGTGTTTGCGGTTGCTGATTCTGGCCATGTTATAGGCATAGATGTAGCTATGGTGTGGTTAGCTTTGGTTTCAAGGCAGGTAATTTGTAGAACGAGTCTTACAAGCCGCTTAGAAATTCCCTCATGTCATCTTTCAGGGCATTAACTCCACCGCGAGCCACTATGAGCTCTTGCAGGGCGTTCAGATGCGCGGTCCACTGCTGAACGCTTCCGCGTACGATTTCATACTTGCAAAGCATGGCTACCGCCAGGATGGCCTCATCGGGAAGGGTCCGCGCTGAATATTCGGCAATTGTCGACTGCAGTCCACTCAGCGTTTGAACGTAGTAGTCTGTTGCGGCTGTCTGGGCCTCCTGTTTGTCCCGGGACCGATTTGCAAAGTGTGTTGCAGATACCGCACACAAAGCTTTCATCAGAAGAGGCGATGATAGGGCCCGGGGTATGAGAAACGATCGAAGGGGGTTGTCGATACTCTCGAGGTTGGCTAGTAGCTTGGAGCCCAGCTCGGTGTGATACTGGAGATAGTGCGTATCGTGATGCGAAAGATGACTGAAGTACCTACTTGGCATGGGTGAAGCCACGGTGAGTGTATCGCAGGAGTCAAAGTCAGTTATGGTAACCTGTTTGTCTTCATATTCATTGTTCTCATTGTTCCAAGAGTATAGACTGCTGTTGTCAGATTCCGCCGGAGTTGTTGGCGCTGTTGATAGACTGCTCGAGACTGAGGAGCTCGGGGACAACCAGAGCTCTTCCCCCGCAACACGCGAATAAGTTGTTGAAACTGATGTTGTACTAACTCTGCGCCGTTTCGGTGCTCTGAATTGGCTGAAGACATTTGCTGATGGATCTAAAGGCTCTGCCCATATTGAGCCATAGCCCTCACATTTCAAGCCCAACCTGGCACAACTATGGCAGCTATTGTAATCGAGTAGTTAGTGCCTCGTATACCCTAGTACCGGGGGCGAACTTCATCATACCAGGGCTTCGCTTCATCACACCGCTTCCGACGACGCTTGCATGTCAAGCAGCCAGACCGTGTCCACTTGGCGCCTTCTCGTCTGCATCTCCGCCTCGTCGGGGTCCGAGTTGAAGGCTGTTGCACCATGGTTGCAGGATTGGATACTGTCATGATATAGGAGCAGTTTTGTAATTAAAAAGGATATTCCAGGCTATCTAGGCTTATAGAAATCAATGCTGCTGGTTTGTTCTCTCGATGATGCGTGGGACTACTACTAGTATGGAGTAGTCTGGTTCGGTCGTGGATGTATATTTCCGCATCGGCAACTTGCATCAACCGGATACTAAGCAGATGGAGAAAAGCCGGCAGCCAATGGATCTGTCAGGACACCAGCCGGTTGACCGTTAGACCGAGTCACCAAGCAAGTGTACCTTGCTTGAAGCAGACCAGATGAGAATAGTTGAAGGACAGAAAGAGAGACGAAGGATGAGCCTCCAAGAAGGGCCGGGGAAAGTCGGCGCTAAACCCAAAGAGGAAGGAGATACGCTGAGATTTGGCAGCTTTTATCGGAGATGGAGAAGATTCCCCCGCTTTTCGAGATTCCTTTGCTGAAGATCTCCGGGTGAGTAATTGAGAAATGCAGGGAAAAAAAGATCGAGTATGACATTCGAGTACTGACAATTGCACTCGTTTATCTAGCAAGCATGTGGCTACAGAGATAAGGAAAAGACAGCCGTTATCGGCGGGAAGGGGGGGAAGTTTATCGTCGAGTCCGATCTGCTGGATGCCACTATACGGAACAAGTATGTTGATGGGATGAATGTCCAGTATTACGTCTCTCGGCAAACGAGCGCCTTTTGCATCGCTTATCCTCGCGTTCCTCGGACCCCGAAACGGAGGAGGGAGACCGCAAGGGGAATTCTATGACCAATGCACGGCGGCTATCAGGCTGTCAATCCATGGCAGATTAACAAATCGTCGAGATCTTGAAGCCGCAGTCCCAGACTTACCGCCGCCCCACTTGTCCCAATTAGGCATGTCCATCCAGACCGTGGAGATCCTTGGGTCTCTTGCGGCTTCACCTTCTCCATGAGCTTCCCTTTTTTGCCTTTGTGCTGGGTCCCTCGCCGAAAGGGTGAAGTGCTCAATGGACTACATATATCTCGGTTTGCCCCCCCCGGGCAATGGACACTTGCTGTTCAATCTCATCCTTCTTGATATGACCTGATTCCCCCAAGGACTTTGTCCCAATATATCTTTCATCATTTCCCCAGTCGCATCATCTCTCCCCATCAAGCACACACACGCGCGCCTTCTGAACATGTCAATTGCATCTCAGGGGCCCAGCTTGGCCACTTCGGCCAGCCCTCACCCTTTTGATCCCGTCCGGCCTCAAGAAATCCGCTTGGCGGTCCGGATCCTGGAAGCTGCCTTCCCAGGTGTCAAGCTGCGCTACAATCGTATTGATATCCACGAGCCCATCAAGAAGGATGTCGTCCCATACATCGAGGCTGAGAGGTTAAGGAAACCCCTTCCTCCGAAGCCCGCGCGTCTTCTCTACTCCTACTTCTATCGCCTTGATACCGGCGCATGGTGCAAGGCGTTGATGAACGCGGACACCGCATCCGTCGTATACGTCAAGGAATTACCAGAGGGAGTCCAGGTGTGTACAGTTTGATTTGACTATGAAGTTCTTGCGCTAACAGTTGGCCTCAGCCTCCAGTGGATATCGATGAATTGGCCGTTATCGAAGAAGTTTGCATGAAGCACCCCGCAGTGCAGGCGGAAATTGCAAAGCTTCAGCTACCCCCCGGCATGACTGTCTGCAATGACCCGTGGATGTACGGCACCGAGAGTCTGACCGAGTCAAGACGGATGTTCCAGTGCTTCATGTACATGGTGGAAGTAGACCACCCCGAAAACAACCACTATTCCTTGCCTTGCAAGTTCTCCCCGGTGTTCGATGCCTTTACACATGAGTTGATCCGCATGGATTATCTGCCGGGTGGCTCGGATGCACAGGAACAGGCCGTTGAGACTCAGCCCTGGAAGCCCGTCAAGGCAGTCCAATACGCCCATGACCTGCAGGATGAGCCCATTCGGACAGACCTAAAGCCCTACATTGTGCAGCAACCCGAAGGACCCTCTTTCTCGGTGGATGGCAACTTTGTCTACTGGCAGAAGTGGCGCTTCAGGGTTGGCTTCAACAACCGGGAGGGCATGGTTCTTTACAACGTCACCTATGATAACCGCAGCGTCTTCTACCGCCTTGCGGTATCAGAAATGACCGTCCCTTACGGAGGTAGGCAGAACCGGACATCTTTTATGTAAAATAATATGCTAATATGGATGATAGACCCTCGCGCACCCTACCACCGCAAGCAAGCTTTCGACGTTGGCGATGTCGGTTTTGGTCTCAACGCCAACCAGCTAACGCTGGGTTGCGACTGCCTAGGTCATATCAAGTACTTCGACGGCTACCGGGCTGACTGCAAGGGAAACCCGGTCCTGCTGAAGAACATCATTTGCATGCACGAGCAGGATAATGGCCTGCAACACAAGCACACCAACTATAGATCCGGCGCTGCTACCGTGGTCCGCAACCGCCAGCTTGTCCTGCAGATGATCTGCACCGTCGCTAACTACGAGTACATCTTCGCCTACATCTTCGACCAGGCCGCCAACATTGAACTGGAAGTGCGCGCAACCGGAATTCTATCGACGGTGCCTTTTGATAACACCAATGGCGAGACTGTCAAGTGGGGTACCAACGTTGGTCCGGGCGTGATGGCTCCTTATCACCAGCACATGTTCTCTTTCCGCATTGACCCGGCCCTGGATGGCCACAAGAACACTGTTTACTATGAGGAGAGTGTACCTCTTCCCGAAGACGAGAAGAACCCTTGGCTAGTAGGTTACACCACTGAGCAGACTGTGATGGATAAGGCAGGCTCAGCCGACCTTGACATCAACCGCAACCGGGTCTTCAAGATTCGCAACGACAACGTCATCAACCCCATCACCTACAAGCCCATTTCCTACAAGCTCCACCCGGCACCTAGCCAAATGCTCCTCCAGAGCAAGAGAGCCATTGGCTACGGTCGTGCCGAGTTCGCCACCAAGCCCATCTGGGTGACCAGATACCAAGACGATGAGTTGTATGCTGCGGGCGAGTTCACCAACCAGAGCCGACGCGCTGTTGGCGTGGAGACCTGGTCCAAGCGGAATGACCCTACTGAGAACGAAGACGTGGTTCTCTGGCACAGTAAGTCCTACCACTCCCTACCCCCTTTGTTGTACATGTACAGAGATCAAGGATAATTCAGCTAACACGTACATTCTAGCATTCGGCATCACTCACAACCCCCGTGTCGAAGACTTCCCCGTCATGCCCATGGAACGCATCAGCGTGATGCTGCGTCCCGACGGCTTCTTCACGAAGAACCCGGCCGTGGATGTTCCTCAGTCGTCGCAGACCTTCAACAAGTCTACCCTCCACCCGGAACCTGCTGCGGCAGTCCCCTCCTGCTGCAGTGGATCCAGCAAGGCCAAGCTGTATAAGCGCATGGACTAGTGGAACAGAACCACTTTTGTTTAGAATTTCGCGATGCATCTGGGATAGGGGAGGTGTATGATTTACGATACATAAGCACGTTGCTGGCGTTGTGATAGTATAATTATTATTTTGTATATACACCATGAATTAGATGGATTCAAACTTCATACTTCAGCATTTATTTAGAGCATTTATTTGTCATTAAGAGCATGATATCAGTACATATCTATCGGAAATTGTTCGCCAAACCAGCCCTACCTCGGGCCCGATCCATACCTGTCTGTTATTGGCCACCGCATCGGTCCTTAGCAGACAATCCGGGCCCGAAGCAGCATCCAGCTTTACGATTGGCTGATACACACACCACCCATACAAGTATATAATCACAACATCCATATGACGACAATAGTATATTATACAACAATCCTCCAACCCTAAACCAATAAACAATTGCAGCAAAGCCAAGGCAAAACCAAACAAAAAAAAATGACCGAACCTGACAAGCACGACCTCGAAGCATCCCCCATCTCCATCCCCAACTCCACCAAACCCTCACCCCCCAAAGACAAAGACAAATCCCCCAACCTCATCACCTGGAACGGACCCGATGACCCAGAATCCCCCCAGAACTGGCCCAGAAACCTCAAATGGAAAAACACATGGTCCATCTCCCTCTTCGTCTTCATCTCGCCCATCTCCTCCTCAATGATCGCCCCAGCAATGAACGACCTCGCACAGTCGCTGGACATGATACACTCTGAATTCGAGATATATCTGTCCCTGAGTATCTTCATCTTGGGGTATGCTATTGGTCCCGTGTTTTTTGGGCCTGCGTCGGAGGTATATGGACGGGTTAGGATCTTGCAGGTGAGTAATTTGTGGTATTTGGGGTGGAATTTGGGGTGTGGGTTTGCGAGGCACAAGGGGGTGTTGTTTGTTTGTAGGTTTATGGCCGGGGTCGGGGGGAGTGCGCCGTTGGCTGTTGGGGGTGGGGCTATTAGGTTAGTAGTTCTTTTTCTCTTTCTCTTTCTTTTGGGGTCTTTGAGATGGGGGAGTTTGGTGTTGTCTGTGGGAGGGTTCGAGATGAGCTGAGCTGACTTATTGAGGACAGTGATATGTGGGCTGCGGAAGAACGGGGAAAAGCTATGGGTGTGTATACTCTCGGACCATTACTGGGACCTGTGGTGGGACCGATAGCCGGAGGGTTTATCGCCGAGTATTCGACCTGGCGGTGGGTGTTTTGGGCTACGTCTGCTGCTGCTGTCGCGGTGCAGATTGTTGGGATGTTCTGGTTGAGGGAGTGTCACCCGGGTACGATTCTACGGAGGAGACGAGATGCTCTTGTCAAGGAGACAGGGAATCAGGAGCTTCATACCGCGGAGAAAGTCGAGAGTCTGGGATATAAGCTCCTTCATGCGTTTGAGCGGCCGGTGCGCATGTTCACGACTCAGCCGATTGTCTTCTGTATGGCGCTTTATATGGCGTACGTCTTCGGCGTGACGTATTTGATGTTTGCGACTTTCCCGGATATTTGGACGGAGGTATATCATGAGAGCTCTGGGATTGGGGGCCTCAATTATCTGTCGATCGCGATTGGGTCGTTCATCGGGCTGTTTTTGAACCTCAAGCTCGTGGACCGGATCTATCGTGGTCTTAAAGCCCGGAATAATGATATTGGCAAACCCGAGTTCCGAATGCCGTCGTTGGCTGTCGGGTCGGTGATCAGCATCGTTGGGCTGTTCTGGTATGGTTGGAGCATTGGACATACTCATTGGATTATGCCGAATATCGGTGCGCTGATCTATACCATGGGCACGATCTCCTGCTTGCAGGGCATGCAGACGTATATTGTGGATAGTTATCAGACTTACGCGGCTAGTGCTTTGGCTGCTTGTGCTGTGCTGAGGAGTTTGTGTGGCTTTGGATTCCCGCTGTTTGCTCCTTATATGTATAACGCCCTGGGGTATGGTTGGGGTACCAGTGTGTTGGCGTTCACGGCTATGGTTTTTGGATTGGGCGGGCCGTTTGTCTTCTGGAGATTCGGGCCCCGGTTGCGTGCCATGTCTGACTATGCCTCTGGTTGATGAGTGGATTTGGTGGCTGGCGATTCAAGCCAGGCGGAAGTTGTCGTTGGATGGAAGGATGTCCCGATGGGTGGTATGCGTATTGTATCATAGATTATTGTCATAGAGAAACTCTCCTATTGAATACGAGATCGCTGTTATATAGTTCGTTGATGATTCACTCCCATTTAGATAGAAAGGCGCATAGATCTAGTTATTCGTAGAATTTGTGGTCAAGTGAGCACAAGCATGACTGCCTGCACTCAGAGGTGATTTTTAGTCGATGACCATACGCACCTCCAACTGGCCGTTCCAGCGTTGGGCGGGCAAGGTAGCGGCACGATGAGATGACGTGATCATAGAGCTCATAGGTCATGGTACTTCTTGCATAAGTTACAGATGCATAATCTCAGGGTCTGCGCTCCGTAAGAATGGAGCCGTAGATATATTGATATGTATGGTGAAGGGCATCCTTCCTGTCAGCCCAGACTGGTGTCTCCACACATTTGGTCCCAGAATAGCCAATCGGCCGACGAGTCGAGCTTGAAGGCATTGGGGTCGGCCCTGCTCATATCGTCGAAAAGCTCGTCGAAAGAAAAAGCCCCATCTGTAGTTTGGTCAACAGCAAATACGCTGTCATCTCGCTGATCGATATCTTTGGGTTTGTGGTGAGCGCGCAGCGTAGTAATGAAACCCGGCTCGGGAGATGAATTACGAGGCGGATTTAGTAGCCAGGCCTTCAAGGTGACCTTGCCAATCGTAGCATACAAGGTCCTTCGGCCCTGACTCAGTGCTTCGTGATCCGCGTAGACCTCTGAGACCCTTTTCCAGGCAGCATCGAGCTCTGATGGTGAATAAAACCCAACCTTGGCAATGCTTCTCAGAATGCAAAGAAGGGAATCCCACACGAAAAACGCTTGCAGCTGCCAGCGAAACTTCTGGGTTGCGGGATTACTATACATAGCATTTCTGGTGTCGAGCACCTTTTCAGCAAGGCTGCAGAGTTGTCTCTGCTGTGTGTCGGTTACGGTTTCTTGCTTGAGCAACGGCATCCTCGCGCGTAACCGGACAGCACTGATGGCGGATCGCATAACGCCGGTAGTCAGAAAGTGCAAAGGGCTCAAGATGTCGCAGTACCGTAAGAACTTTTTCTCGATGAGGTCTTCCACCTCGTCGATCAGTCGCTCGATCTCCTCTGGGGTGCGGAACTCGATTGTCCCCCCGCTTCCCCTCTGCTGGACCCCGGTTCGAGTGTAGAAATTTGACAGCTCCATCCGGGCCAAGCAAAAGATCATCTCCGATGCCCCCCGTTGGTCATGAGGCGGCTGGGTCATGCCGGGGAAGATCTGATCATCGTTAATGTTTAGCGGTAACTTAGTATCCCAGCTGCCGGGTGAGATGGATATACCCGTGCCGGATGTTTGACCTGCGTAGCTGTCCAGAGGTAGCAGTTGCCAAAAGAGCCGCCGGCGCATCTGGACCTCAAATGGGGGTAAACCGATGCTCTCGCCGTCTCGGTGCAGTCCTATGCGTTGAGCCAGGCGAATTCCAATACCAGTCAGAATCCAGAAGGTATGAGAATCGATTTGAGTGCGCAAGGAGATAAGGAAAAGAGTGTAGGCCTGTAAAACCGGTAACGAGTTCGTCTTGAGCCAAGACACATTTACCAATGCCTGGGTGACTGCGGTTCGATATTTGTGCATCAAGTGGGCCCTGGAATTATGGAGTTCTTGTAAACACTGGTCGTCGGACATTGAGAATACGGCGAAATGATAGATGGCAAACAGCAAGCATTCGTCATTCTTGGAGGCAGTGGCTGGGTGCTTGGAGACGGTTTCAACTATCTTGGCGACTGCCGGAACATGCAGAATCTTACAAAGAGGCTCGACGTTCTCCACGTAGGCACACCAGAGCTTGGCCGCATGCTCGTAACTAGGGTGAAGGTCGGTGAGGCCTATCATGCTTCTCATACTTGCGTCCAAGATAGAATGCGCGGCGAGGGCACCAAGAAGATTGGTTGGAGTGGCTTTGTCGGAACCAAGCTCATCTTCATTATAATTTTGTTGCTCGGACTCGGACAACTCACCTAGGTCACCTTCGCCAGCGTCGAGGAGCAGAACATCGTCAATGTGGCGAGAATTGCCATAGTTAGGAAGCAGTTTATCCGCTGCAGCGTCAGCCTGCGAGTTCGCTGTCCCCGGAGTCGGTGCCTGTATACTATTTGCTGAGGCCTCCAAGTCTCTTCCTCTAGTAATCGAGGGAGTGGCTATCGGAAGAAGATTGTGGTCGTGCAAGATGCGCTCGTAACGTGCCAGACGTTCATGTACATCTTCCTCGCCCCGGCTACGTTTCCTCTTGCGCCGTGGCGGTGGTGGCTGATAGACACACTCGAGCTTGGCTTTGATGCAGTTGGCACACTTGGGCACCGCGCGGTTGCATTTGATCTTCTTGCGCACACAGGCTTGACAGTTGAAGCGGATCGGGGTTGACGAGGCGGATTCGCAGGAGCCATTGTGCGTGTCAAGAGGGAGGTGCTTTGCCGGGGCGGAAGCAAGTGGGACAAGGTTCCTTGTATCCTCCATTTATGGGGGAGCGATGTGTGACACGCTCTCTTGTGCGGCTATCACTGCCGTGGTCTTTCGTAGTCGGTGTTTGGGTGGCATGGCTTGGGGAGGGACCCCCGGTCATTCGTTCGCGCTAACTTATATTCCACCCACGAGACTAGCTCGCCAGTCTCTGAGACTAAACATTGGCCAGTTCAGGGTGTGATTGAAAGTTCATATACCAAGTAGATTCTATTGTTAAATCACTCTGTTCACCCTCATTATAGCAAGTATAGATCAGTAGAGATAAATGATATATATAGAAGCACCTGTGCCTAAACTATGAATAGAAAGAACAATAGATTTTCAAACTACATAAAAGCGCATCCAATCACAACGGATGTAGACGCTGCATATCACATCTTCTAGTATTTCCATTATTACATGATTTCATTCTGATTGCTATCAATTACATACAGCCTTTTCCGGAGAAGAGAAAAGAAGTAGTATATAGGTCAGAAACATTGTACATAAAAAGTAATGTGTCGTTCATTTCCATTTCCATATGAGAAAAGAAATCCCACTCCTCTCATTCCGGCATACCTTAGATAAAAAAAGATTGAGACATCGTTGTCATCCTCCTTTGTTCACTTCCACTGTCCAGATTTTCCAGTTCGTTTACTGAAATCGATGTTTTAGAAAGTGCAACAGCCTTCTCAATGGACGGTAAATTAGTGCTAGAGGCTGTTGGCAATGTCAAGACGCCTATTCGACCGGCATATTGCCGTAAGGGTACATTTAAGCCTTGTTAGGAACGTGAGCCTTGGGGACAGCACCGGTGCCGGCACGGGTGATGGCGGCCTCACGGGCACCGCTGAGACCATACTGGCTGGGGATACCCTCAACACGGTGGGTGGAGTTGATGTTCTTAACGAGGGTAAGCTGCCAGCAGGTAGCACCACCCTGGCGGGAGGTGATGGTGGAGTAAGCCAAGAAGTATTCCCAGATCTGGAAGTAGTCATATGTTAGTATCGTCCTGTCGTATACACTGAACGGGGGTTGGAGAACTCACTCTGAACCATCTCTTGCCGTACTTGGCCTCAACCTTGTCACGGTTGCCCATCCAGTTCCGGTACCAGCGCCACAAGGTAGCAGAGTAATGAACACCAATAGTGTCAATGGCCTTGATTTCGAATCCAGCAGCCTCCAGTCTGTCAACGACGAAGCCAAGGGGAGTGCTAGCGTCAGCGCCAGGGAAGATGTATTTGTTCATGAAAAGACCCCAGATGAGATCCTCGTACTGCCAAGACTTGCGCAGACCGGCGATCTGCAGGAAGAAGACACCATCGTCGTCCAGCATGTCGTAGACCTGAGAGAGGAAGGAAGTGAAGTGACGGACACCGACGTGCTCGGCCATCTCAAGGCAAGTGATCTTCTTGTAACCGCCATCAACCCGAGGAGCGTCACGGTAGTCAAGGCACAGGATACGGCTCTGAGACTCATCAACACCGGCATTGCGAAGACCCTTGTTACCCCAGGCAGTCTGGTTGCGACCCAAGGTGATACCAGTGACCTGAGCGCCATAGTGAACCGAAGCATACTTGGCCAGAGTACCCCAGCCACAACCGAGATCAAGGACAGTGTCACCGGGCTTAACGCCAATCTTTTCGCAAACCACAGCCAGCTTGTTGTCCTGCAGTTCCTCCAGAGTCTCTTCCTTGTTGGGGTCGCTGATGATACCGGAAGTGTAGATCATCCGGGGGCCCAAGAACCAGGCGTAGAAATCGTCACCGCGGTCGTAGTGGTCACGAACCTGCTCCTCATCTAACCAAAGTCGCTCAAGTCAGCACGAAACCCCCACCACCGTGCCAAATGTAGTAAATTAACACGTACCTTGGGAGCGGGTGTGCATCAGCATCTCAGGGATGAAACCGAAGAGGAAGTGCTTGTAGAGACCCATGGTGAAGCGGAAGTTGGCCCAGTCGTGTCTGAACTCCAGAGCCTCCAGGGCATCACACTTGAAGTCCACCTCGCCATTGAAGTACTTCTCGTAGAAGACCTCCATGGGAATCTTGCTCTTGCCACGGTAGGCAGTACGATCATGCTCGCTGTGGAAGTTCAGGTAGTACTCGACGGGGCGACCAGCATACTTGGCCTTTTCGTTCTTGCGGGGAGAGATGGAAGAGGCAATGGACCAAAAGCCCATCAGAATGGGGACGGTGGTGAAGATGGCGAAGAAGATGGTGGTGTAGAAACCACCACCGATCTGGCGGGCGAGATACCATGGGACAAGGATGAGGAGAGCGAAGAGGAGGGTGTTGGAGAAGCTATCGCTACCCTGAGAATCCGCGGGGACGGGGGCATTTTTGATGGCCGGATACTAGCAAAAACAGGAGAAGATTAGCTTACTGACATTGCGAATTGAATTGGATTGATCATTCCTGTTCCGAAAAGTAGGAGTCAAGAACCCTGGAGGAGCTCTTCAGGAGCTGTTCATGTGCTACAACTAACTCACCGAGGTAGTCCGCACACCGCAATCGTCGGCGGGAGTAGTGCAGGAGGCGGGTGGAGTTTCAATGAACTCGAAGTCCTCTGGGGACTCGGGATGGATATTCGTCATGGCGGAGGAGACGAATTGTCGAGAGGGAGAGGGGGAGGGGGAGGGGGAGGGAGAGGGAGGAGGAGAGGTGGGAGGAGAAAGAGAAGGGGAAGAGGAGAGGGAATTGGAGAAAAGAGGAAAGAACAGGATTGCTTGTGAGGCGGGAGCGAGTGGATTATTGCTTGAGCAACTGATCAACCGCCAGGGTTCGGAAGACTGCGCCTAAGCAAAGAACATGAGAACTTCCTCCTCTCTCGTTCTGTAATTGGTCTACTAATTTTATCGAGTGATGCTACAGGAGGTTTGAACAGGCATTCGTTATATTTATTTCTGGGTGATAACATGATGAAAAAGTAACTGAGCTACCACTACATGAACACTCCTGCAGCAGCTGCAGCTTTTGCTGTAAGGCTGGGAGAAGAAGTGTTGATTGCTTGGACAAGTTTCCAAGGATGGATTCTAGACGAAGTGGTCCAGTCCAACTGGGTCTCGCCCGGGAGGACAAGCGGTGAGCGTCGCATAGATTAGTTAGTTAGTAGTATCGATTAGTTTGTAGTTGGTAGTTATATTTGGGGCTCTCTCTCTCTTCTCTCTTTCTTGCGTCAAGTGCCAAAAAGCACTCCTCACAACCGAAGGTCCTTTATTTGGCTGATTGCAAAACGACCTAGAACAGGTACAACCTTCTCACGTTCCGCGGTCGGGGACCAGGACACCTCCTAACCAGTTACTATCTTTATAACCGATCTCAACTTCCCCATCCAAGGTTGGCATTCGGTCTTTTCCTCGGGTCTGAAACCCAACTGCGGTGCGTGGCCCCTTTTGCTTGGTCCAGTGGGCTTAGTCATGGGCGTTGCAAGTGAAGTTGCCCCTTAAAGCAGCTTAATCAATTGAGCCATCAAACGGTTAGCCTGGGAGGGAACCACTGTTTGAGGGCCGGCAACACCCACTACAGGAGGGTCCATTACGAATATTCTGGCTATTAATCATACAGCCCAATTTCATGCTCAAATAGGGACAAGCCCCACGCCGGGGTCTTCCGTGGGACTCGTCAAGTCATAACAGGATAACACTGTAACCCCCATCGTAAATAGACACATCATAATTTTCTAGAACGCCCCCCCCCCCTTTCAAGTCCCGTGCTCCATCTCGCTGCCTCCGTGAGGTTTCTTTTTCCATGACTGTTCTTGCCAGTCAGGAAAAGAATACTTACACGTTGGCGAGTGCAACGAAACATGGAAGACACATAAAAGTAGACCGGGAAACCAAAGAACACCACTCAACTACCAATAACATGAACCCATAAAACCCCATATGATACGCCGGAAGTAGACCTCTGTATTCGCCTTGGTTCTTCACACATCTCACGTCACAGCGTTAATTGAAAGTTCTGAGCTTCTTCATCTTCATCAAATGTCGGAAGCCCCTCCGCATTCTCCAAGTCTAGCCCAATCGTGTCGGCGATCAATGGTGGAGTTCCACAGGGCTGCAGATAGGTATCGGGTGATAGTATTCCTTGGGGGACAGTCTCTAGCTCTGTTGGACTGGCCGTCCTGCCATGTAACTTGGTCGACACTTCCCGGCCCCTACTATATCCCACCGTCGTTTGGGAAGTTGCAGCAGCGGCCGTTTGACGCATACTCGATGGATTGGTCGGTTCTCTTGGTTTCTTAGACGGGAACAAGGCAGAAGTAACCCTAGGCTTGGCCGAAACAGCCGGTCTGGTGCGTGGAACAGAACGCTGTGTCCCGGACAAGGCAGCAGCAGCATCACGAGCTCGGATGGTGGAGATATTGCTGGTATGTTTCGTCTTGTTGTTGGCCGCTCTCGTTCGTGAACGCGTTTGAATTCGGCGTTGCGTAGCGTCTGCTGCAGGCGGTTCCTCGATTGGAACGGTCTCGTATGTTTCCTCGAAGCCAATGCTCTCGACTTGCTTTCGAATCATTTCCTCAACCATTCTGTCGCAAGCAGCTGAATCTTCTTGGAATTTGCGCTCGCGCTTAGTGAGCCCATCGGGGCCAACCTCATTATCACCATACACACTTTCCAGTCCTAGGGCGAGATTCTTCGGCTGGAATTGCGGAAAGGTGGTATCATAAGTGACATCGTCCGGGATATCAGGAAGATCTGCGATAAATCAGACACAACGGACCCCTTGATACATGCGACAACCCCGCGAAAGAATTACTGACCTTTGGGCTTAGGGGGCATATACTCAATGTCAGGGACATCATCTTCTACCGGTTTCGCCTGGACCTCTGGCTGACTTGGCTCTACAAAGGGAGCAAATTTCTTCGCTCTCTGCGTAGAACCTCTTTTGATGGTTCTGTCAGGCTTCACCGTCCCTCCAGGAGGGGCTGGCGTCTGCAATCCCCTGGCTTTGGCATTTGTCGTCTTCATGCCGAGAGGGGCACGCTGACGAGGATCTGCTGCAAAGTGTGTTAGTCTCATGAATAGCGAATAGCAAGGATCAAGACATGCGACTTGAACATGGTCGTAGATTCCCATTACGTACCCGCCGGAGTGATGAAGGCATTTTTCGTGGTCAAGTTGATATTCTCCTTCTGTTTACCCCCCTTCACGGTTTTCTTCCCAAAAGCTAGCGGATCGTTCTCATCATTTTTCAAAGGGACTTTAAATGGCGTTTTTGGTACTCGAGCGCCGGGGGTCTTGGGTTGCAAATGTCTCACGCCTTGATTGAGTGGTTTCGACGCGGCAACGGTCTGGTGAGAATGGACCAGGTTTTCTTGGTCGCGTACAGCCAACATGGTGGCAATTATGTATTCACACGGCTCATTCAACGAGCGAAGATCGATTGGCGTAGGTTATACTGGAGGTCGGAGCTAAAGGTGCTGGAAGCGGCGCGTCAGCACTGAAGGAAGGAGAGCGGAGCTTGTCGACATGGTTCTAGATGCAGCGTCACGCAACCGAGATGTTTTCGTGGCGGTTGCCCGTGGAGACAATACAACTGACTGTATTCCGTAACACCGGGACGGTAAAGTATCAGCCACAGCAACTGTGGCACTGCCCATCCAGGGGGGGCGATGGCATCCCCTACCATACCAAAAATGGATCGGGCCCAACCACTAGTCGCGGCTGACCGCCAGGCCAGGCAAGAAAGTCAACCTTACCTGAAAGGCCCTCCTCCACTTCTCTTCCTTTCTCCCTTAAACCCAAAACCCATTTGTCCTTTTGACTACTTGCTTCCCTACTGCATCTCTGTCTGGTTTATCGCTGAGCGAAAGCCGTCCCGCATCCCCAACTCATCGAAACATCTACTTTCTACCATACATATTCTCCGTTCCTTCACTGCAAATAACTGCCCAACATGGATAAGATCAAGGAGGTGAGATTCCTTTCCCTTCCCCTCCCCCTGTTGGCGGGGTAGCTTCTAAGCTGCCTGGAACTGCAACATGCACCACCACATGCGTCCTTATTTCTCCCACCGCATCACTCATTATGATCCATTTATCTTCATTACCACAAACAGAAATGTGTAAATAAACTGGAAATATCCGAAGACTGACCACCATGATTCTAGAGAATGAACAACCTCCGCCTCGAGGCCGAGGAGGCCCAGGAGAAGGTTGAGGAGCTTAAGAGCAAGGTCAAGACGCTGGAGCAGGAGAACCTCGCCAAGGAGCAGGAGATCACATCCCTCAACCACCGGAACCAACTTCTGGAGGGTGAGGTCGAGAAGCTCGAGACCGCTCTTAAGGAGGCCAAGGATTCTGCCAACCAGAGTGCTCAGCACGATACTCAGAACGAGGCTCTCCAGCGCCGTCTGCAACTTCTGGAAGAAGAGGCCGAGGACGCTGACCGGAACCTCCGGGAGACCAACGAGAAGTACGCTTATTTCCCATTTCCGCCCCCTCCCCGCACCTCATTTTTTTACGTGTCCGCAACGGAGCAACACATATACTGACTATGCTCGTGCTCTAGGCTCCGCCAAACCGACGTCAAGGCTGGCCACTACGAACGCAAGGTGCAGGCTCTCGAAGCGTCCCGTGACCAGTGGGAGAGCAAGTACGAGGAGATGGCGAAGAAATACGCCGAGTTGCAGAAGGATCTGCACGACCTCGAGGTCTCCATCAGCAATGTTTAAAAAGGAGATGGCGCCGAGGCCCGGAAGATGCTGGATTTCAGCCTTTTCCCCAAATATACTTTTACCTTTGCTTTCTTTTCCTGCACATCACAGTCTGATCTATATGTCCTGTCTGCAGGGAGACGGATTTTAGCTGTATCTTTTTTTCGTCGTGTCATCTAGCTGGCTTCATCCGCATCATCAACCGGTCTCTCCGCTCGTCCCCGTGACCTTGTTTAACCTTTTATTGTTTACCATATTAGTCATTGTGAAGGTACATAGAGCATATTTAATTGGGAGCGCCCCTCTTCTGGCTTCTGTATTCTCATCCGTATGCTGGTTCATAAATGTGCTGTGCTGTGTTGTATAGGACTGGATATTATGAGCGGTCTCGTCGAGCCTGGGCTTTCCTCGATTTCGCCGCGCGCTCCTTCACCCTCGTAAGCTTGCGTTCCTCTTTAGACTCGTAGCGGAACTTCTTCTTCTTCTTTTTCGGCTTGTTATCGGTCTTCTTTTTCGTCTTCTCGCCGGCCGCGGTTGATTTGGTATCCGGTGCAGGTTTCGTCTCCGTCTGCTCCTCTTCCTCGTCGTCCGACTCATTGCCTGCCGATCGCAGTAGGCCTTCCCTGGAAGGATCCATTTCTTCCACTGTGACCGTCGTGTACTTGTCTTCGTCTATGTATTCGGCCTCGTAATCCACGGCTGGGGGTTCTTCGAACCCTTCCCATTCCTGGTCGTCTTCATCACCACTTCCCGAACTCGAGTTGTCCTCATCACTGTCCTCTTCCTTCAATCTCTTGAGCTGTTTTTTATGTTCCTCGATAGCGCGCTGGAATTCTGCGGTTCGCTCTTCGCGGATCTAGATTGCAAGCAAAATTAGTTCCGGTGCAATTAAGCAACCTGATCGCCGGCGAATAGACATACCCTTTTGCGCTCCTCACGCTTCAGTTCACGGGCCTTCTGCTCGGCCACCTCTTGTGCATGTTTAATGCGTTGTTGTTTGCGCTTGCGAAAGCCTGTGAGAAACTGCTGGCGATCGGCAGCGTCGAAGGTAACTTCTTCGACTTTGCTGGCCACCTTTCTCCTTTTCGCTGCTGGCCCCATGTTTGTATATATGCGACAATTCGAATGAATCGTCTAAAATTATGGAAGAAGTGATGTTGTTCTCTGAGGCGGGGATTTTTAGTTCAGGGAAAAATTTCCAAAACGGCCGCATTGCCAGAACGTCACGGCCGGGGACAAGTCGAGCTAAGCCGTGCCGGTGGTTGGCTCGACCGCCTCCGAGCCGTCGTCGGCCAATCCACCAGCCTGGCTCCAACATCATCATTCATTCCTCCCGGAGGTTCTCTAGATAGCCGTCCGCTCGTCTGATAGCTAACCCCCCCTATTTCACCACCATGCGTTTGGGAACCTTTTCGCTGGTCGCTCTGGGAGCGACGACGGCGAACGCAATCCGCGACACCTCTCCCTTTTTCCTAGCATCGACCTCCCAGTATGCGTGACACTTGCTCGATTGCGGGACTCCCATAGCATGTCCCAGCTAACTAGCTTCTACAGGATCCCTTCTACGTCAGCACAGCTGCGGACTGCTCCCGCTATCTTAGAAGATCTATCCACGGGGCTGAGTGGCTGCCCTTCCGACTACTATGTTATTGCTTCTCAGCCCGGTGTGCACAGCACCGACTTCGCTACTCGCCAGTCCGCACCGCGTCTTGGTGGGAAGATGACGGGGAAGGACAAGAACATCCGGACAAAGACGATTGTGAATGAAGTTGTGGGCGAGATAGAGGCGAAGGATGTCCAGAAGCTGCTCGAGAAGGAGTGCGGGGCTGAATCGACCGTGATCGACGCTTCCTGTAGGTGCTCACTTGTGTATGAGTGGTCGATTAATGAAGAACATGACTGACAGCAAATGATTAGCTGATTCTCACTCTGCCGACTTCGATGCGGAGTCCCGCATCATCGTTGTTGACTTGCCTGTCCTGCCTGCGGGACATGATCGGAAGAAGCAGCTTTCGAACAACGGTTGGTGGCCCACACGTCTATACTACTCCCGGAGAGATGCTTATTGTTTTTGTAGATGGCTTGCTCTTCAATGTCATTGACCGGCTCCCGGAGTCCAAGGGCTACACGATCCTTTACGTCACTTCCCCGAGGGAACTTGAAGACACCGGTTCCGATTTCTACCAAGCGGAACAGGATCCCCTTCACATGGACCTCAAGCGCGACTACTCTGCTCATGACAGTCAATCTTCGTCCAACAAGACTCTTTTCCAGGAATACCAGTTCTTTACACCCGGTATGTAGACCGAAACCAAGCCACCGCAAGACTTAATCTGACCGTCAACAGGCATTTGGATGGGACTTCTCGCGACCCTGGTGTTCCTGATGATCTTCTATGTCGGACTGTCTGCTCTTTTGAGCTTGGAGGTTCCCTATGCAGCATTCGAGAAGGACACATCGGCCGCTGTGCAGAAGAAGCAGCAGTGATTAGCGGTTGTTCTTCCAGATTCGTGTCATTAGTCTTGCTTCTTCTTCGCATTACTTGCTATATTATGAATAGGCTGTATATCAGCGAAGCGGCGTTTGCTTATTTGTGGAATCTATCATATTGTACGAGTGAAAGTGGCACCCAACTAGATATCATTTGGGCGTCGAGGTAGATATCTAACCATCGAACATGATTGATGACGAATCCTAGAATGTCTCACATTAGAGTTAATAGTTAAGGGAATGGCCCAATAGCCTGAACTTACCTCGCCGCTAAGAATAACTTGGGTATCACGTGGGCCATAGTGTGGAAGCCTCAGGCCGGCCGAGGATGGCACGGGGCAACCACCGCTTGGCTGTCAAAGACCTCGTCTTTGCTCGCTCTCTTTATGCTCATCGCTCGCTTTGGGGGGTCCTCAAGACACGGATTAACCGCACAGCGGCTGTCGCTGTAGTCCCTCGTTTGGCTGTCTGCCCTACCTCGGTGATCGTCGTCTTACCCTTGCATCCATCGCTTGTTGACCCTCTTGTTTTGGGTGGAGACCGATATTAAGTCCCGCCCGCCTGCCTGGAGACACCCGCTATCCATGCAATCAATCTACGACCAGAGACATTCGGTTCACTTCTTGTTTTGCTGACGATTTCGGGTTCCTCTTGACTATGAAGTTGCGTCTCTTGCATTAACTCTAATTGCACCGGTCATTGCTGGTTCTACGAACTCTCGTTATCACTCGATCTGATACGTACCCAGGAGTCTATATCAACCATGGTAGCCCTGTCGGTGGGCCTCTCAAGGGCCCGCCAGCCTTCATTCATACTCCTTCTATTGTTTATCATTGTCTTTGTCGCGCAAGTTTCAGTGGCTCAGGATTCCACCACAGACGACTCTACGACCACTGCCACCACAACGGCGGACACATCTTCATCTACGGACTCTGCGACAACCTCGTCAGATGACAGTACTACCACTTCAGCTGCCACCACGACGGACTCATCGTCTAGCTCAACGACAGATGCCTCGTCCACGTCAACTGACTCAAGTTCTTCATCCTCCTCTTCCTCAACCAGTGGCTATCCCATCGTCACTGTTCCACCCACGGCCGATGCACCGTACATGCAAAAGTCGAAGATCCCCGAGGGGACTCTATTCATCGTTGTCGGGGCTGTCCTTGGTGCCATTGGATTCGCTATTCTGGCCTGGCGCGCCCTCGTAGCCTGGTCAGTCAACCGTTCCGTTCGTCAAGCCGCCATGGTTCGGTCATCCGAAACCAAAGGACTGCTTCGCACCAAGAAGCGAAGATCTCCCTCTAGGAGATCAAGCTCCAGACCAGGTGTCACCCTCGAGAAGCTGGGTGGTGGAGGGCATCATCACCACCGTCACAGCCACCGACACCATAGGTCACCTTCCACAAAGACCCCCAGCTCGAACAGCGCGCTGTTCTTTTCGCCCACCGCCGGAATGCATCGCAGCAGCAGCAGTAACAGGCGGTCTGCCTATCTCCCTGCAGGCTACTACAACACCGGCAGTGCAGCGCCTCCTCGGACTCACGAAGCACGCTTCTCGGCGGCTGATCTACCAGGCATGGGACCACAGTCGCAGGGTTATACGAGGGCCAAAACTGCCCCTAGCCCTCCTGAATCACCAGGCCTATCCCCAGCAGCCAACGAACAGGACACGACGCCCCGTCGTAGTGCCAGACGATCCCGCGCAGAAGGCCCTTCTACCAGCAGCGTGAATCTCTCCTCTCCTCCTCAGGGTCGCACACCAAGCGCATATCTGGAAGATTTGTTCGATAACCACAATACGCCTCAGAACAGACATTGATATGACCTATCTATGCTGTTGTACGAGCGACGATTTCTCAATTTCTTCATTTCCATTATCTCCTTTACCGTGTTGTATATTTCGCATCTCTTCCGTTATACAGATCTCTTATCCCGAACTTCTTTTCCTGTTATATGTTTATTACTGTATTGTATATTTTATTCTATCATTTTCTATTATCATGTCTGCTAAGCCCCTTTCACGATCAACGAGCATTTATCTAGTGATTTATTGTTCTACATTTCTATCATTATTCATTCCTTCCATTCAGCGTCCATGCTATTACTGTAACTACCTCCACTAGTTAGTGAAAGAAAAGCAAGCATCTTATTAATAATCACCATTAGTATTACCAATTAAAGCGAGTGCACTGTCCACGACAGCCCCGATTATCATACTATCCAGCACTATGACCAACCCGCAGTCTTTCCTCCACCCCAAACAGTACCAAAACGAGTGGTACTAGGCAACCCAATAAATAATGAAAGAGAAAAGCTACTGCAACGAAAGGAATGGAAGGAACCCCAAGAGAGAGTGGCAAAGAAGAAAAAAAAAAGGGAGTATAAGATATAGGAAATAAAGAAGAAAAGAAACAAAACCGACTGAGGATTTATACTATACGTTTTAGCGTATACGAAACAACACATGAACTGCTCCGCAACACTCCCTTTCCCTTTGTTTCCTGCCCTAATATAATATGATACAGACGCCTCTCCGCCTCCCAGTAGAAAAATGAAAAAAAGAAGAGAAGGGGAAAGTAAATATAGGTGTATGTGTGTATAGAACAGACAAGTGTATAGTAAGAGGAACGGAACCAAGCCAATCCAAATCAAATTAAGTTTGAAAAAAGTGAACGGGCCGGATGGGGCTCTAGACGCACCAAGCCAAGCCAAGAAAAGGGTGGAAGGCAGGAGATAGAAGGCAGAAGGAAGATGTTCTTACATACGTAATCACAATAACGATGAATGCTGGCTACAATGTTGGATACACAAAAGTCATGTCAGTTTATAGAGGAATGGGCGAGAAGCCTTGTCTAGAAAGATGCGGCAAGGTTGTATAAGTTCAGTCTGCGTCCAATTTGCCGCCGAACTCGCCAAGGAGAATATCGTCGGGGGCAGGACCGCGGCTGTTTCGGACTGTTTTCGGTGCCACGAGTCAGTTGAAGGTGCCACGGTAACGTGCTTGTGTGATGGATGGGTGACTTACTCCACTCGGCCTCGACGCGGAGGAAAACCCACATCCAACGACGGGCGACCTCGGAGAACATGAGTATAAAAATTCCAAACTCGGTCTCACTCATCCAGACAAATCCGGGCACGTATCTAGAGAGCCAGGAGAAACGGATGGCCAGATCAATGATGATCGCGAGGTAGTATTGTCGGTTGGCGAAGTAGCGATGGCGGCGCAGTCCGTATGGGTGTTCGTGGCTGTGGCGTGCTGAAGAGAAGAGGGTCAAATCCCAATCCTTGGTCACATCCCAGTAGAAGGAGTATGCGGAGTTGATGAATGTAAAGAAAAACCTGTGACAGAGGAAGCGCGGTTAGACAGAGCCACTCGCAGAAGGCAGGAAAGAGCAGTCGAGCACGTACAAGAGCCGCGAAAGGCTCATCTCACTGTAGCCGTAAAAGTCTAGAGGGTTGTAGTTCTTTAATTTGGCTGCCAGGATGATAACCGGGAACGCGGTGGCGTATTTCAGGGCGTTAGCCAAGTGCTGGCCACCCTGGCTGCCTGCGACTTGACTACGCTGGGTAGCCCGACGCACACGCAAGTATTCGATAAGACATTGGCGAAGTCGGATAATACTGGGAAAAGCGATGATCAAGGGAACGACGTAATCGTTCGTGCGACACTTGCGGGTGGGTTTGGACGTGCTGGAGACGTCCGTGGTAAAGAACATGCAGAAGGTAACAACCAAGTCCGCGAGGACTCTCGAATAGCTTGTCAGAGCATCTGCCAGCAGAATATCCCCGAATTTGCCATCTTGTGCTTCCGCCAGACCTCCAAGACTGATGCGCTTCAGGGTCATGAAGAACCGATATCGGCCCGAGCGCGCGATTCGGTAGAAGGGCAAGATGAGGATAAATAGTCCAATGAAGAAGTATGATTGCGGAATGAACTCCACCGCTTCGACACGTTCTGCAGAGCCATGGGTGGCAGGCCAGAAGATAAGGAGGGAGACGACGAGCGGGATGGTCAGGATAGTGGCCAGCTGGTATGTCGAGGCATAATGCGGGCGTTGACTGGAGGATTGTCGAGCAGGGTATTTAATGAGGGCAGGGACATCCTAAGAAGAAGCCAGTCAGCGAATGCATATAACTATAGACAAAAGAAGGTGTAAGGGAAGGGGGATGAAGAGGGAGAGGGAGGGGCATCACCCACAATATTGGCCTTTAGGAGGTACTGCAGATTAGCACCCCAACCCCAGAAACCTATCGATAACGAAATGTCAGCCAAATGAAATGCCGGGGAATAGAGAAGGAGGGGGGCGATCATCCAAGGGGGTAGCATACCAGCCAGCAGTATCACCGCCACGCGATAGGGGAAGGGGAGGAAGAGACTGAAGCGATCCAATTGAGCATGTTGATCGACACCCATATTCCATTGAAGAGACGGCGGCGCCGGGAATTCAGCACCAGAGGGAGACCGAGAGGGAGATTCGGAAGTGACTCGAGGGAGGCTCGAGGCACGGAGCCAGTAGTGAAGAGTATGTAGCGACAGTGACTGATCAGGCGAAGGGGGGAGAGGGAGGTTGGAGGGGGGGGAGATCAAGGAGCGACTCGGGGTGAGGTTTGACGACCACAAAGGGCACTCAAATCATGACCAGCGAAGCAGTTTAAGCAGCGGGAAGTGAAGAAGCTCAGGGACCGCCGGTTTCAGGTCGGCTTTCCACTTTGGACGGGGCCCAGCGGCTCCGCGCGGCTTTCCGGCTTGTAACGACGCGCACTGGTCCCGCTTTGGGTCTAGCCTGGCCTCTTTGGGACTTGACCCTTAGCACGTGAGTTGAGTCATGTGATAGGGGTCACGTTGCGGCTGTCTAGAGCATCACGTGAGTATTACCGAGGCACTGGCGATGCTCCTCCGCCTTTCGGGGATCCGCCGTTGCATGCCGGCGCTGCTATACAATTCCACGCGCCTTATCTCCCTCCCTCTCTTTCTTTCTCCATCTCTATCCGGCCATGATAGCTGTCTCAACGAGGGAATAGCTCTCTCCCCACAGTATCTCCGCATTTCTTCTTCGACTCTCCACCTCTCGCACTCTCCCACTTCCCTCACAATGGCCGACGAAGATCTCTCCCTAACTACCTCCGCTCCGACACCGTCCGTCTCTCCCTCGGCCCATTTCTACCCTTTCGCTACCTCCCCAGATATCATTCGGTCGCATGAAAAGGATGTCTTCATGACAGGGAGCTTGACAAGCCGAGCCCATTCAATTGTTCGCTCTCTCCGCGGAGCTCGCTATGCACACACCCACTCCGATGCCATCAAACACCTAACCGAGATTCTCTACTTTGCCTTGACCACGTTCATCGGAAACCGGACCCTAGGAGAAGAATACTGCGACTTGGTCCAACTAGAAGACGACACCCTTCAGCTCCCTTCTCTCCCCAGACGAGCCGGGTACATCCTCAGCAGTATCCTGCTGCCCTGGACGCTGCAGCGAATTCTCCCCGCTTTCCGACAACGACTGCGATCGAAACTGGAACGCAGTATCGCTCGACAACAATTCAAAGCATCCCAAGCCAAGAAGACAACAGTGGAACAAGCCAAGGACAACAAGTCGTCTAAGAAACCGTCCTTCTTCACGAAACTCCGGATCCAGAAATACATCCTCGAGCATCTGGACTCCATCACGTCGCTGTCACCCATATACGCCGTTAGCATCGCAACGTTCTATTTCACGGGCGCTTACTATCATCTCTCGAAGCGGTTCTCGGGCCTGCGGTATGTCTTCACGAAGAAGGTAGAGGAGGGTGAACAACGGGTTGGTTATGAAGTCCTGGGTGTGCTGCTTGTCTTGCAGATCGCTGTTCAGGGAATCCTGCACATCAAGAAGGTTGGGGCCGACTTAGGACAGGAAAATGAAGATACTGGACTTGAAGCAGATGCCGGTATGAAACAGTATGGGGGCTCCTTGATACCGTCACTCGAGAATCCCTCCTCGCTTCCTCTCCTTCCGGCTTCTGCTGCCCGGTACGATTTCTCGGAAGACTCCCATGCGATCCCGTGGATCCCTGAAGGACAGCAGCGCAAATGTACGCTCTGTCTGGAGTTGTTCAAAGATCCGAGTGTCACGACTTGTGGACATGTCTTTTGTTGGACGTGTGTGCGGGACTGGGTACGGGAGAAGCCGGAGTGCCCGCTTTGTCGACAGGAAGTGCTCTTGTCGAAAGTGCTGCCCTTGAGGGGATGATTTTGATGGTTTTATGACTTTACAGCGCTGTTTATATACATGTCTGGACTGTATCATGCTTTCTTGTCTATAATTATACCCCATTCATTCTAGAGGCAATTACTTTGGCAGTCTCGATTGTAAATGACTTTGACTTTCTATTCAGTTTCTGATGAAAATGTTGTATATATTGATGATTCTAGCAAGGGTATCATTTCATGTTCTAGTTCTGAGATCTATATAGATCCGATATTCAACGTCTATGGCCCTGAAATCTGGTCATCACAGCCACAGAGGATATATCACGTTGCTCTATGTTTAAACCAGGAAGCAACTGACCTGTTTCATCGCGGGAGTATGCATATGCTGTGGCAACCACTGTACCGTTACTCTGTCTCGAGCAAGCCACTAAGGCTTAACCACTACAACATCATCAGGGACCGTCGTCACAGTCGGCTCCTGCACAATACGAATAGGCAGATCCAGATCCGCATGAGCAGGTAAAGGTGGTCGAGGATCGAGGGCTTTCCGCTTCGCATCCATAGTATCAAACAAGCAGATACAAGCATACGAATCGGATGCAGCATCTACACATACACTCATTATCATGTTGTCGATACTAGAGGCGGGCGAACAGAACTTACATTGCACCTGACGATAACTCAAAGAGACCGTCCAATCACTGCACCTCACATCTTCCGCTTTCTCCAACGGAAGCCCCAGGTGCTCCTCCACCTGCTCACTGAGATTGACAGGTCGTTTGTTAATCAGTTTCGGGTTAATCTGACAGTATTTGACCAGTTTATGGAGATGGCTAAGCTCGAAGATCCCGTGCGCATCGATCTTAAGGTACTTGCGGAGACGTGTGCAGTCTGCTTTGATTGATACTCCGAGCTTCGTGATGTCTGGAGATTCGATGATTTGTTTGAGAGATGGAGGGACGAGGTCGCTGAGTTTTCTGCCTGGTCTAAAGAGCGCGACGTGGAAGAGAGCGATTCGCTCCCTGTTTGCGACTTGGATCAGGGATACGTTGTCTTGGATGCTGTTCCAGGCGGAGGCCTGCGCTTTCCATTCCATGTCGAAGCCGAGGATCTTGTCGTTTAGGAAGAGTTGCGCGACGTCTTCGCTGCTTTTGAGTGTTTTGCAGTAATGGACGATGATGTTTTTGCCTTCGGGGCTTTTGAGCATGGTGTGGCTCCAGAACTTGGGTGTTGGGGGATCCTCGGCGGGTGTGAGGACTGGTTTTGATTCTCCTGCTGGGTGGTTTTCTGAGGCCGACTCATCTATGTCATTGTTGCTTGCACTCAGTGTTTCTGACTTGGCTAGTAATACTGGCGATTCTGGTGTCTGGAGTTCTCCGACGTCTTTACTGTCGATTATATGCTCAATCATTGGTCGCGGGACGGTATTCGAGCTATAGCATCTTTCTTGTGCTGGAAATGGATAGGTTATATGTCTGTGGCTATGAGGGGCGGCATTTTGGCGACATGTGTATGGAGAAGTCTGATTGCAAAGTGTAGTGTCGCTGGCCTGTGAAGGCCGGGGTTTAAGTTCGCAGGACCGACTGTCGATCCTGGAAGAGACATGCCTTGTTCCAGGTAGGCTCTGTAGAATGTCTTTCTCATTTTTGCTCGAGCTGGAACGTGGAGAGCAGCTACTACTATTCAGAGCAGAGTACGGCCTGTTTATTGAGCCATTCAGCGTCATATGCTGAATCAAGGCGCACGACCTGCGCAGCAACCTTGAGCGAGTGGCTGTCATGGCAGCCTGGTTTTGCATTGTGCGTACGCACATATATCCATTGGTCGAGCTAACACATATATAAGTATTTGTTCAGTCATAAACGGGGTAGAAATACCAAGACATAGCTGCTTCGCGGAAAGCCATCATAGTAGACCAGATCAAAAGAAGTAAAAAGTGACGCTTGCCGCCGGCTTCTATCACCGCCACCGGTCTTTATAGATCGCGTCAAGTCTTACAAGTCACGCAAAGCACACTGACTGAAAGAAGTCCATAATAAGAATATAGAATCATAACAATCTGCTCAATTAATACATCATGTAGGATTTCAGCAGCCTTGAACCGACAAAGCGACAGGGCGTACCTGAAAATCACCCCGATGAAGCGGAGTGGGATTGTAGATCTGATTGGGGGAGGCCATCCGGGCCGGATAAACTCTGCCACCGGGGCCCGCCAAGATTGTGTGGATGGAATCATTCCAGCATCCGTTCGTCAGTCCGCCCGCTTCATTTTCTATATCAGATCTAGGCAAGGGGCTCCTTTTTCCACCTAGAAGAAAAACAGTAAGTTGTCTATGGGTATAGATTGCATGTCTTGAGGGATATATGCTGAGTTGGAAGTAGCTGCTTAATAACCTAATCAATCCGCAATGGCGTCACAACTTCTTCCTCTTGGTAAATAACCCTGTCAGAAGCCGTGTATACATGGCGTACTTTGTGATGATCTGCTTATTAACATGCGCGACAGAACTGATCGACAAGTGTGTCGGATCCAGGATATGGGTCATCATGAAGAACGACAAAGGTCTGCATGAACATCTCCCTGCGGGGGAGGGGCAGACGATAAGCTAGATAGCTAACATGCATTCAGAATTCGCCGGGACGCTGCTTGGATTCGATGACTACGTCAGTAAGTATTTCTCCTGTCGTGGTGTACGATGTGCGTGAACTGACCTGCTGCAGACATGGTTCTGGAAGACGTGACTGAGTTGTAAGACCCCTTATCTGCTATCTGAATGGAAATCTCCTATCTCGGAGGCTCTCCTTTCCTTAGCTATCACTCTGTGTGTGAAGCAAAGAACCATTGCTAAACATGCGACAGCGATTACTCCGGCTCTCAAGTGAAGCTCCCCAAGATTCTGTTGAACGGAAACAACGTCTGCATGGTATGTCTTCATACCTTGTGTTACTGATTATGCTCCAGACTGACAGTATCTATTATTCAGTTGATCCCCGGTGGTGAGGGACCCGTCGGTAGCTCTTAGGTCATGATATCCACGATTCTTCTTGTTTGATATGTCAAAATGGTAATAGAATGAACGCTCATGATTGAGATAGACAGTAGTAATGACGGAGTTTACTTCTGACAAATCCTGGCTACTAAGGTGTTGAGATCTACAGATGCAACTTGATGTAGTTTTATTCAACATGGCATAGTAGTTTCCTTCATACATTCTATCTGAAATTGAGCTCTTGCTACTGTTCCTCATCCTAACAATATCAAGTTTACACATCACGTGGAAGAAGCATAACTCCATTCATAATCATTCATATATCGCCACATATTACCGTGCTTACACTCCGAGACTACATGCTCAGGTACAGCCCTATGCAACATAGCCTATGCTGCAAGCAGCCTCACGCAGGTACCGGTCAGGGGCTCCAGGACCAAACACCAAATTTATCATCGTGCAGCGGTCAATGGAAAAGTAAACACATAATAGTACGCATAAGTATCTTAAACTACCACCTAAAGAAGCCACATACCCCATACATACTACTTCTACTACAGAATGAGCCTCTTTCAGTAAGGAACAAGCGCACAAGGAGAACTCCTATCCACAATATCTCCTATAGAATGCACCCTCACTACAACTTTCCTATTTAGAACAACAGCGTACCATAATGCTGTGTAGCAATGGCTATGCAATATGAGGTAGATATGTACTACATTTGCCAATTCACTTATGTACTGTACATAACAGGCTCAACAGTAGTGACGTAGACAACTCGCGGAAGGGCAAGAACCTGAAGTGAAGCAGCCGCTCTAAACCTAAATATGCCGCGGTACTTCTTCTCTTACTCTGCGTAGCAAATAACAGCCACCTAATTAGCCATTCACTACTACTACTAGATGAAATGAGTAGTAGTGCCTAAATAGGCATTATACTTGACCTTCAGTCCCTCTCTACTAAATTCCAGAATATATCCCTCCAAACCCCAACCGACTCCAGCCCCACACGAGCACCACCACCACCACAATCCCAAATCAAACCCGCCAACGTCGCATCGAACCCAACCTACCAAAGCTAAATAGGACTACCCCAGACTTTCCCCAACCCCCAGACCCAAGGCTGATCAAATGTATGTCGGGGTAAAACATACATAATCTTACATGGGACAATGACAGGTACTTTAATATTTGCGGGGTTTGAAAAGGACTGAAGACTGAAAAAAAGCGGGAATGAGATGAATCTGTTATGTAACAGAATCTCTTTCCCCGCAAAAAAATTAAAATGTGGGCGAGGCTAGTCAGTCAGCTGAGAAGTTTATACCCTCATCTAACTTTAATTTTTACTTACATACAACATGAACGTATGTTAGTAAGTTTGTCGGACTTATTCGAGACGGATTTGAGCCGTGGTTTGATTATGGGAATTGATGTTACGTAGATACTTTCTTGACCTTGACGTGTTTTTTTTTTTTTTTTTTTTTTTTTTTTTTTTTTTT